ATTAAAGAACACATTTGAGTCCTCTTGAACCATTTCGCCGAACCCAGTTGCCTTCCAAATACCAGATCCAGTGACTCTATTTGGTCTTACGCCGTTTCTATATTTTCTACCTCTTTTACAGAAGAAATACCACTCATTTTCTCTCGCTGGACTACCTTCTGCATTTTTTACAAACTAGTTTAGCACAAATCCATCAATATATATATAGAGAGAGGGGGTTCTATAGAAGAGCTCCGACTCACTTGTATAGATAATGGAACTGTTCAATATCTCGAGTCGTCTATCTTGCCGTTGGGTCTCTTCAGGTGTGGAACTCTCCGTGTCCTCGAACTCAACAAGTACCAACTCAGCGTTAACAACTCCATTGCTGCGGCTTTCGAAGGTTATGTGAATCTGACAACTCTAAAACTCAACTCGGTCCAAGTAACCCCCGAGAGTCTTTTCAGAATCATATGTAACTTTGAGTTCATGGAGAATTTGAGCCTGTGTTCTTGTATTGGATTAGACTATATTAAGATTATTTCTAATCATAAGTACTTGAAGTTCTTGGAACTTCGGAATTTGGATCTTTATAAGATTGAAATATATCTCAAGGGTGTCACTGAACTAGTGCTTGATAATGTTAAATACTCCAAAAGATGTTATATTAACTGCCCAAACCTTCGAGTTTAGAAAGAGAAATAGACAAAGTTTAGAGAGAGAAACGGAGAGTTTGGAGAGAGAAATGGGTTTGCAGAGAGAGAGTGTGTGTGTATGTGTGTTTTGAGGGGAGTGTTTGCTTAGATAGATAGTATGTAGCCAAACATAACCATTAAGGGGTAATTTGGGTATTAAATTTTAATTTTTTGCTGGTTTCGGCAAAAAAATATCTTTGAAGAGCTTTGACCGTTGACTAAGGGGGAGACTGATGTGTGTCACAAAAAGTAGTGGGTTTGATTGAATTTTTGCAACCGTGCGGGTCTCCTTGAAGATTAATATTGGACAAACACATGGGGTATAACTGAAGTTAACCCCAAAAAAAAATTAACAAATCAGTAAGAATAAATACCCAATTTATGTAAAGATATTTGAGAGAGAAGATAAAAGAAGTGAGAAAGTAAAAAATTTGACTTACAAAGAAGATCGGCGTTGTTGTGGAGCAAAATGTGCAATTGAACCAGTTGTGTGAGTAAAGAAATTGAGGAAGTAAGATCACCTGTTTAATCCCTTAATTTGGACACCAAATCAATGGTTCTGCAACGGATCTTTCCACTTATTTTTGCTGAAGGGATAGGGAAGCAATCAAGCAAATAAACTCATCTTGAGAGCCTACAACATGAGCGACTCTCAAAAAATCATGAATATGAGATATCAGATCTGAGAATTAAAGAGGGAGGAGTGGGTTTCAATTTTTGTTGTGTATCAGCGCATCACGTGGATATTCAGACTGAGACAACCCAAGTTCTACTAGACTATGATGAGAAATAGGGTGTGTGGATCACATGGGTGATGGGTACCTGTGGCAAGCTAGCAGCAGGTTTGAAAAATTGAGTATTCTAGGGTAATGGGTACCTGTGGCATGCTAGCAGGTTTGAAAAATTGAGTACTCTAATTTTTAGACTAGGAAGACTATAATGGCATGGCGGCAGATTTCAATACTTTTATGGGATAATTACACTTACCTCCTCTGAGGTTAGGCGTAATTACATGCGGTACCCTTTACGTTTCAAAAATTACATTAACCTCCCTCCAAACTGATCGACATTCTATTCCGGCCATTGACCATGTTAAATGACTAAAACACCCTCAGGTATTTTATTAATATCACATAAAGAATATTTTTTTTTTTGAAATTACCATATTGACCCTAATATTTTATTAATATCACAGTAAATTATTTTTTCTAAATCAACTAATGGGTCATATATATATATATAATTTTAGGGCAAATCATTTCAGCCTCCCCAATCTCCTCCATCTCTAGTCTCGTACTCAACTCTGAACTTGCCCTCTGTCTCTGCAACTGCAATTACAAAATCTATAAGAATCCGAAGTTCAAAACCCATATATTTCAGTTAATCTATCTGACGGCAAGAATCAAAAGTTCAAAACCTATTACACATATCAAAACCCATATCGGCATATCATTTCAGATTGTTCAAAAAATCAAAACCCATATCTTTCAGGTTCCATTGTCCACTATTCCAGTTAGGGTTCGCCGTTCGCAAGCTCCAGCCGTTGTCTCTCAACTCTTGGCTTGCCCCCCTCTCTCTATTTGCAACTGCTAGCTTGATGTTGTGGTGTGATTGGCTTCTTCTGCCTAAAATCAATGAATTCATAGTTTGACAAAAACAGAAAATTCAAACAATTACCAAATCAAATCCAAAAAAATAATAATTCAAAATTCAATGAAATTCTTCCAACAACCTGCAACATCCGAGCCAATTCCTCATTGGATTTCACCAATTCGGCATCAGCAGCATCTGTCGGCAAGAATCAAAAGTTCAAAACCAATTACATGTATCAAAACCCATATCGGCATATCATTCCAACAAAAAAATAAGTAATGAAACATTCACCTCCTCTCAACCCCTTTGCCCACAAAAAAAAATAAAAAATAAATGCCTGTTTGATTTATACAATAAAAAATAATCTCCAACTCAATCAAATATCCAGCCAAATTCGGAGTCCATCATTATTCCAAAATTTTCGTCCAATTCGAAGTCAATGACTCTTTCTCCTCCAAATCTGCCAACTACACACAACCAAGCAATTTCCTTAATTGGGCCAAAAGTCAATCATCAGCCCACTTCCCAAACCATGCATCTTACACCACAAACTGTGTCTCTAATTTTAGAAACCCACAATTTCCATCCATCATTCTTCTCCCACTTCCCCAAAGAGCATACCATAAATTCCTGCGGCGAGATGCTTCATCGATTTCGCGACAAGATGCTCCATCGATTCCGGCGGCGCGATGATTTGCAGCTATGTATAAAGACCAATATATATATATATATACCAGTATATATATTATGTACAGAGAGTTGTGCTTTTAAATTGGTTTTAGAGTGAGATGTCAGATGTGTATACAGAATTGTTTTGAGGGTATATGAGTAATTTTCAATTTAAAAGTAAGGGTGAAAATGTCTTTGTAATTATGGTAAGGGCAAATTTGGTATTTCATGCCAAAAATTGCTGACATCATTATTGACCGGCGTTGACCGTCACCGAAAGGGGCAAAGTGTTACTCCGGAGCTAACTTTGAAGGAGGTTGGTGTAATTATTAAAACGTTAGGGGTAGTGCCTGTAATTAGGCCTAACCTCGAGGGAGGTGAGTGTAATTATCCCATACTTTTATATATATATATATATATATATATATATATATATATATATTATAATTGATGGTATGTATACTGACCTCCTAATGTACTACGGGTATAGAAGGGCATTAAGACAGCTTTTAGAGCCATCAACAGCTTGGAAAACTTTAAGGGCATCACATTCCTTGGGACTTTTGCGCTTATATATTCCCATTTCTAGGCCTTTGCATTTTAAAGCTTGGTATGAAGTAAACAATTGATGAATCTTTTTCCAGTTATAGAAAATTTCTAATCTTGCTGTGAAAAATAATGTGAATTTATCTCAAGGCAAATATATATAATATAAATATAAATATATTTATTTATTTATATTATAATCGAGTATGTTTGTGAACGGTTCATGGACAAACGAGTCGAGCCTACTGATGTTCAAGCTCGGCTCGTTTATAAATCGAGCCTCATAATTTGATTCGAACTCGGTTTACTTATTCACGAGCCGAACTTGAGCTGAGTAATTAACGAGCCGAGCTCGAGTAATTTGCGAACAACTCGGCTCGGCTCGGCTCGGCTCGTTTGCAGCCCGTTATGTTGGTTTATCACAACAATAGTGTCAATTCGCTTTCTTACAAGACAAGCTAGCCCACAATATATGCAATGCTTAAAGTTTGCCCGACTTCATTAAGTTTTGTCCATCAACATCTTTTTAAATATCTAACAATTATTAATAAGGCACAAAATTCAGACCAGAGCAATTGTGGGGTGGCATACCAAATTATTGATATACTCAACCAATGATAATGCATTGTCTTTAAAATAATTAGTTTACCTATTTATAAAATTACGAAATAATATATTACATTTGACTGAATGGGTATACTTATGATGTAGCGTGTCTAGCGCACCAAATAAATACTATTGAGATAATTTTGTAAAAAATTTTGTGTCCGGAGATGTGGGCATGGTAGACCCAGAAATTTATACTTCGGGGGCAAAGTGCCGACCTAGTATATGAAAATAAAATTATGTAATATTATATAAATAGGTCACCCTTGCATGTGAGGTTTGATATATTGGTTCACGCGTTATAAAAGTAGAAAGATACTTGTACCAAGCACAAGTCATTATTTAGAGACTATTAATTACAACTATTAATTACAACGCTTATATTGGATCTACCAGGTTTTAATGCAAAAACAAGTCATGAGCTCAGCACTGTTTTCTTTGGTAAGTATGATTATTATTGAATGAAACAAAATAATTATCCTCGTTGTTACCTAATAAAAGAAAATTAAAAATAAACCTAACCTGTTTAGATCAATTGAATAAGGTCGATTTGACATAGTAGTGACATAAATTTTATCATGTCTTCTAGTTCAATCTCTTTCATCATTTATTTTTTATTTATGTTATCAAACATCAACGTCTAAATCTCTTTCATCTCTCTAGATTGTTTATAAAATACCTAGTACTATAGTAAAGACTAGTATTAATATTTAATAAAAATTTATAATACCTTTTTCTTTTTTCCATTTCCACAACATTAATAATACCTTATATAGAACCAATATACCCCTTTGTATAAAAATGAAGAACCACTCTAGCCTCAATATTACTATCTTCTTCTTTATTTTTTTTTTTAATTTTTTTTAATTTTTTTTTTTTTTTTTTTGAGTGCAATAATTACTAAAAACCACATTCTCACCAAAAAAAAATTTGGACATTTAATGAGCATGATCAGGACCCTAACAACAATGACCACCCAGTGCACCATGGTCACATGACTCACATGATGGTGCATACTGATGGATTACCTACTGTGTAGCAATCACAAACAGTCATGTAACATGGTCTTCCGTAGCAATAGCATGGCCCCCCAGAAATGCCTTCAGAACATGGCCCACAACACACCGGGATCGGGATATATATATTCACAGGCGGTGGCGGTGGCGGTGGCGGTGGCGGTGGCGGTGGCATTGGCGGTGGCGTTGGCGGTTTGATCTCAATACTGATGATTAATTTCCCTCCCTTGCAGCACAACTTGTCACGAATTTTCTCTGGGTTGCAGCATATTACGGTGATCGTCACCGTATTTTTCTTTTCATCATACACCTGGTTTCGAATTTCTCAATGTCCCAACACACGATTTAACATCACAAAAAAGTTAAACTCAGTTCTTAAAATCCAAAAAATTACATAAGGAATTAATATATACGTAGTAAGAATTAAGCTAGGCACCATTCATCTTTTTTCAGTATTAATTATGATGAATTGATGATGAGAAAATGTGTATATATGTATAATATAAATGTGTGTGTGTGTCTGATTGTTTATAGAAATATATATGTACGTGATCAGGGAGGTACGTATATAGGGACTCACCAGAAAATTTACATAGTATTTTCTTGATCTTCTTGTAGCTGCAAGAGCACTGAAGATCGACATATAGTATCATTGTTGTAACCTATAATTTACATTACAGAAAGGAAAATTCAATTAATTAAGAGCAATTTTATGCAAATAAATCAAATGGGTACTTAATATATAATTAAAGGGAGAACGAACAAGATTCACAAACCTTTACAGTCATGGTTGTGACTTTGATTGCTCAGAAAATGATCGAGCTGTTGGAGAATACTGGTGTATTGATGATGAACTGTGTGTGCATGTGTGTGTGTGAGAGAGAGAGAGAGACACACACAGACGTGTTCTTCTTATGAAGGAGATATGTCAATGACATAGGCTTTTTATTAAGAAGGCAGATAATATAGTGCATGATGGCCAATGAAGTGATGACACGTGTATCTGATGATGAAATTGATCTGATCATAAAGAATGAGGTTGTAGATGGTGGGGGTGACATCAGCTGGCCTACGACATATTGCTGAGTCTTCTCCATCCACTAAACCCATTTGCATGTGCTGGGCTTAATTTGAAAGTCCCATCTCACCTTCCACAAATTTAATCAACATGATGATTATTAATGCCAGCAATATTGGTCTATTATGCCAGCAATATTGTCGAATCGCTTTCTTATAAGGCTAGTCCCAACAATGCAATGTTTAAAGTTTGGCCTACTTCATTAAGTTTTTGTCCATCTAATACCTTTTAATTATTTAATAATTATTACTAGCACATAAAGGATATGTGCATGGACGAACCAAAAAAAATTATATGAGAAGGGCAATAATACAATAATTTTGTAAAATTTTCCATGCCCAAAGATGTGGACAATGGTAGACTTGGAAATTTATAATTGGAGGGCCAAAGTGCTGAACTAGTATATAAAAATAGAATTATAATATTATATAAATAAATTATAATATATTATTATTTACATAGAACTATAGAAGTCTTTTACATCTTTTTAATAAATAAGAAAATTAAGATAAAATCATATAAACATATTGATGAACAAAAACTTTAAAGTTACAAAATAGTGAAACAAGGAAAAGGAGATATATATATATATATATATATATGTGTGTGTGTGTGTGTGTGTGTGAAAGATTAGGTGGAATAATAATGATTTGTGCATGGTACATGCATCTTTCAACTTTTATCATGCCAAAACCTCACCCATGCTGGGGTGGACCTATTTGGAGACGGAATAGGGCCATGGACTATCCAAAAATTTTGAAATCCTTATTTTGTGAGGTCCTAAAATACTTAAAAATCAAAAAAAAAAAAAAAAAAAAAAAAAAGCTACGCAAAGCTAACAAATCATTTCATTTTGAAATCTTTTTTACTATATTTTTTAAATTCACACACACACACACAAACATATATATTCCGTCTCCAAATAGGTCCACCCCAGCATGTGTGATGTTTTGGCACGGTAAAAGTTGAAAGATGCATGTACCATGCACAAATCATTATTATTCCACCTAATCTTTCACACACACACATGTACATATAATACTTCCAATATTAAGTGACTGTTAATTACAACGCTTATATTGGATCTACCAAGTTTTAGTGCAACTACAGGTCGTGATTCCAACACTTTTTTCTTTCGTAACTGTGATTATTGAATGAAACAGAATAATTACACTTATTGTTACCCTTAAAAGTAAAATGATAAATAAATCTACCGAATTTTTTAGTTCAATTCAATAAAGTCGATTTGACACATTGGCATGAAAATCATCTCTTTTAGTTCATCTCTTTCATCATTTATTTATTTATTTATGTTATCAAACATCAACTTCTAAATCTCTTTAGATTGTTTATTTCCGCGTATACTTCTTTTATAGTTTTTGACAGCTTAATAATAGAAAAAAGAGCTTCTTCTTAGCTAGAAAATTCACATTTAATTTTTAAAATTTATAAATAATTAAATATATTATTCATTGGTTAAATATGAGTAATCAAAACTCCCTGATACCATTATTCTAAAATAATATCATCCCATCAACTACGAATAGCAACAGCTTGTGCCTTGTGGGTCTCAGTGGTGTTCATCAGAGCATTTTTCATTTTTTTTTTTTCTTTTTTTTTTTTTTCATTTTATTATTATTATTATTTCATTTTGCAGCTAAGTGCCAAAACCGTCACAATACCTATCAATTAATCACGTCGACACCTATCAGTTAATTAAGACATTCCTTAAAGTTACAAACTTAAATAATGTCACCCCAACATAAAATGACTAAATTGCCCTTATCCAAAAAAATCCTTCCTTCTTCCAATTTGATAATGTTTGGGAGGAAAACCAGGAGGAATAATTGTTAATTTATCTTCATCAACATCTTCAACCTTGACACGTTTGGAAGAAAAATCAGAAGGAACAAAGTCATGATTGTCATTCCATTTTCCTCTAAAAACCCGTGGCAATCTTTTGTATGTCTTTGAACGTTGTTGCCTCACGACGCCCTTGACTGCATCTTTGGAGGCCAACATTGATTGCTTCCACCACTCTTGAGTATCGTTTGGTCACATCAGATTCAAAGAGCCGGTATGGTATATATAGTTCAGCATCCATAATTGCTCACAAATCCAAGATCTCCTCAACCTTCTCCGATCTCTGCCGTCCATCGCTGCCGCCGCCGATCTCACTCCTTGCCGCCGTTGATATTCTCTACCGAGTAGAGCAAACAACAGAGATAACTTCAAAGTCATGATTACAGGTTCCTCTCTGCCGCCGCCGATCTCTCTCTCACTGCAATTTTAATCTGCCGCCGGCAATTAAACAAAGTTTTCTAGTAACCCATCTCAGTTCTTCTATAGTTCCTGATCTGACAACTCCAATGGAAACACCATCATCAACAAGAAGGATCACCGATCACAAGCCTGTGTGTGTAAGATAGAGAGAAAATTTGGTTTTGATACGGATTGGGGGTTTGAGGGTGTGGAAGAAGATGAGGCGATTGAGCAGTTTGTGTGTGTGTGAGTCGGTGAGAGATCTGTGTGCGCGCGTGAGAGAGAGAGAGATGAGATAATAGGATAGTTTGGTCCTCTTAAGTGAGGATTAAAATATTTTTAGGGTATATTAAACATTTAATGTAATTTAAGGTTGTGTTTGCCTCATTTCTTTAAAAATAGAGTGTCATTATTTAAATTTGTAATATTAGGAGGTGTTTTTATTTTAAAAAATAATAAAATTGTATATGAGTATTAATACAGCAAACGTCATAAGTATCGTATTAACACGTTGTGTCATTGAGTGGACACCTTAGTCTTCGTCAACGTGCCCAACCAAATTTTATATCTAGCATTCCATCATTTAAATAAGAAACGTGTTCAATGGGACTATTAAATCTTGAACGCCCAACTATTTAAATCTAAAAGGACAACATTAATTAGAGGTCAAGTCATCTCATTTCATTCAGTATGGACAATAAAGTTCCCATCAGACAGGAAATCAGTGACATCAAATTTTTTTTTTTTTTTTTTTTTTTTTCTTCTTCTTTCTTTAACAAGCACACTATATTTTATCATTTATTAAACTCAAATTATCACCATTTACATTAAGAGATAGAGAAAATATTACTGAATTAAAAGACCATTAATTCAACGAATTAAATGGTTTAAAAGTTAATAGTTCGACACATCATACTATGTATTATTTCTTACACTATGCCATTTCAAGTATTATAAATTATTGTGAAAGAAACACACCTACAGTGACCTAAGGGACATGCAATTAATTTAGGGCCACTTTGGTTGGAAAGAAATGAAATGAATGTAATGTAATGGAAGGAGATGAAATATTGTGTTTTGTGTAACACATGGAAAAGAAAAGAAAGGAAGCATAGGGAAATGGAGGGATTTCAACAAGGCAGCAACATTACTTTTGTTATCCTTCCAAAATTGGGAGGAAACAAAGGGCAAAGGCAACATTTTATAATTAAATTTTGTAAATACCAACATTGCCCATATATTTATAAAACACAACATTAGAATTACAGATGTGTCCTATGACATAATTAGTTATTTACCCATTTAATTAGCAAATTTCTGGGAAACAAATGCGCCAAAAGAAAGAAGGCTGGAAACAAAGGATGCTCGTTTCTTTTGCTGTTGATCTTCTCTTGCTGGTGGTCTCTATTAAAAAATAATAAAATTAATTGTAGCCATAGATTTTCATATTCTTCAATGGTGCTCTCTGTTTTCATTAGTTTGTTAAATTAGTTTTTCAATGCATTCTGTATCATTATAGAGTACATGGTAGTTTTCCTCTTCACTATTTTGAGTGGTGTATGTTTCCTTGAGTCAGAGTTTGGAGGAGGAGGATAACTTCTACTCCTTTTGATTTTCTACGTATATGGGTTAATTCATTCAATGCAAAAAGAAGTACATCAGCCCAAGAGATAGCACAGTGCTAACTGAAGGGCCAAGGCCCAAATACAAAGCAGGCCCAAAGGCCACAAAGAAACTATGGAACAATCCACCCAGCCCAACAAGGCACTTGACAGTTATAGCCAGTAGTTAAATCCAGTGATAAAGGAGCTACCTCTGACGGGTGCAATTGGAATCCCTAGTCTGGTGGTTTCTCCAGGGGACGGATGATTGATTCAGGGATATCTCACTCAAGTGAAATTCTTCTGGAGTTGAGGGAATCAGTGATTGAGGAGATGAGAAGCTTAGCTCTGACTAATTCAAGTGTGAAGTGAAGGATTGAGTTAGGTGAAGTAGCTTTCTTTTGAAAAATTCCGCAATTCCTCTCATTCCAAATATGGTAGACGAGAGATACCAAACTCATTTTGGAGACAGAGTAACTATGAAATTCAGAGACACCGCGCCAGTGATGGGAAGCCCAAACCGTGAGATCCCTCCAAGATGATGGTTGAATATGAAATCCACATCGTGTTTGAATAAATGCCCACAAGGGCCTGACAAAAGAACACCTGAAGAATAGGTGGTCATAAGACTCCAATTCAGTGCTGCAGAGTACACATAAGGTCTTGATGTGGTATTTAATTCTGCCCGTTATGTTCTACCATGGTCTTATATTCATAAAGTTTATTTCAATTACCTATGATAAGGAAAATTTAAACAAGAGATAAGATGACGTTGTAAGAATAACTGAAGATACAAGAAATTCCTATATCTCAACCAAAAAGATCTCCCTTTCTTTACCTTACTCCTCCTATTTATAGAGATTTACAAATGTCGATGGACTGCTGGATCTAGGCCCGTTCCTCCATGAGTTCTGGTCCTCTTTGATGGGCCTATGCGCGTTCGGCCCATATGGTAGTGCCTTTTTATGGGCCTGACCCACCTGTACGGACT